TTTTACTATTTTGAATGTCTAATTTCGCGTTCCGATAATTTTGTTGATTAGACTTTTTAGCGTTATTGGGATTAGGGCTTGCTATAATTATTCTTTTGACGTTTGGAACTTTTTGTTTGACGAATGCACGTGATTGAAAAATTAAATACTTTTGAATATTAATCAGTTTTTACCGATCCAAAGATGGGCCAACAGAGTAAATTTATTCTTTTTACAATGTATCGTTTAATAGAAACCAAAAATTTGTGAACATGTATGTGTCACCATTTGAAACATTCTCGATACAAGCTTTTTTTATACATTTAGATGGTCAGTCCCTTAATTTTCTGTATCATAAAATAAATAAAGCAGTTGCGCTACAACCTTTTTAGGTCTGGGCCTCAGATTTCTGAATCTGTTTCGTAATCATTTGTCAATCTAATCGAATCGTAATCGAATTTTTGGGTTGCATGCCGGTTTACTCACGATATTTTCCTTCACCGTTCGAGCGAATGTTAAGTGTACATATAGAGAGTTCATTGGTGTTAAGCTGGGGATCGAACGACCTCAAGGATGAGAGTAGCACGCTGAAACCACTAGGCCAACACTGCTCTCATTTTCGATATCACCTTAAATTTAAAATTAAATTGTCCTTTGAAAAACATTAACTCTCTGCAGTTTCTAAAATTATTCACCTCCAATTATCGATGCCAAGAAGAAAATGCAATTATTTAATTTGGCACATTTATCTGTATTCCACATTTACCTACTTGAGTCACGTCGCTTTTTATTTTGTGCAATAACTCAATCTATGTCGTCTGAAATTGTTACCGTCTCAGCTTCATGAATCATCCTTCACTATTAATATTTTCCAACTAGGCATTTAATGAAAGACAGATTTCATACGATTTTTTAACTACGTTCAACAATACGTAGGTACATACGACCGTGATTAGAGACAAAAAAAACTTCTGTGTACTTATGTACACGCATTAGTTATACTTCTTTGGCGTAACAAGATAATTTATTTTTTTTATCTTTCGCGTTTGTAGAAAAAATGACACTAACAATAGAAAAAAAAATTACTATCATCATTTTTCCCTAACGCGCCAAAAGAAGTAGTACTTCAAAAATATTTTGACAATTGATTACTAGCGGTCCGTCCCGGCTTCGCACGGGTGGATATTAATTTTTTAAACATTTTGGCTTAAACGTACAGTAAATGCAGTACATACCTAAATAATAATGTATTTAGCAATAGGTTCTTTAATATTGTGGAACATTTTAATGTTCTATCATCAATAGTTTTCACAGCGCATGCGATGAAAGATATTTTGTAGGCATTTTTTTAATACCTTGGGTAACATTATTGTAGTTTTAGTAGGGATTCGTATTTTAATCAGTGAAAATGTAGATATGTAAATAAATCAAATATACATTGACATAGGCTATATACATTTAAAAAAAATTGGGATCCCAAACAAAAATGCAGTAATATATTCCAAGGTGTGAAAAAAATATCCATAAAAAATCTGTCATCGCGTGCGCTGTGGAAACTTTTGATGATAGAAAAAAAAAATGTTGTACAGTATTTTAAAACGTATCAAAAGAATGTTTTAATGTCGGACATTCCACGTAAATGATGTTACGAATTTAAATCTATGTAAAATAAAACTTTTATGTTAACAAAAATACGTGAAACCGGGGGGGCATTGCTAGTATAAAATAAACAGTGACATGACCATAGATATAGTAGAATTTGGCAATGACATTGCAAACAGGATTTTTTCGGTTCTCTTATTTCCATCGGAACGTCATGGTAACATTTAACTACCAATACTTTTATATCGGTATTTGTATAAAGCCAAAAGAAAAACAGCAAAAGCAGTAAACCATAGTTTAATTACGAAACAGTTATCTTGGATTATAATAATTATTCCAGTATTATTATTGCAGTGAATAAAATAACTATAAACTGTGGTTACATGGCTATGAAGACGTTAAAATCATTATAGTGTTTAATAGTTCAAGGCATATTCCAAGAACCCACACGTTGTTTGCCATAACACCTGCTTCAATAGGACGTAATTTAATATAGATATTTAAATCTAAAAATACGTTTTAAATAAGTGCGTGTATGTTTATTTATGCCTTTTTAAAGCCTGCTTAATTTTTATGACAACTTTCGTGATTAAGTGGGTCTCTCATCCATGAGGTCGTAGGTTCGATACCCGTGCACCAATGGACTTTCTGTCAACGTGCGCATTTCACATTTACTGTGAAGGAAAACATCGTGAGGAAGCCGGCTTGCCTTAGACCCAAAAAGTCGACGGCGTGTGTCAGGCACAGGAGGCTGATCACCTACGTGCCTATCAGATTGACAAATGATCATGATACAGATACTGCTAAAGCCCAGACCTAAAAAGGTTATAGTGCCATAGATTTTTTTTATACCGTCAATTTATATTATAAAACCTTAAGAATATAATGTTTAATTCAATTATTTTATATTTTCATACATATGAAACACTGTTTGCCTGATAATGATCGTTTATAAACGATAAGGCCGCCGGTTGCATTTAGATCTTAGATCTGCTGAGTTTTTATTTCTTATATAAATAAATAAAATTTGTCAGGATATTAATAAAGCAATTTCACTTAACTTGGACTTGATTAATTGGGCAGAAATAATACATTAAGTAATACTGATTTTGATATATTAGGAGGTGGGAATTTACAATTTAAGTATGTTTCAAAAAAGTAGTCCAATGCTATTAGATTTTTTTTAATTTTAATCTTTCATAGGGTAACTTTTGTTTATACAATTGGTAACCATAATGTACCTACTTAAGATAGGTGGCCAAATAATTACATACACACGTCCACGTGGTACTAGGAACATATCAAGTTGCATTTGCCTGGCCCTGAAAATAATAGTTATATTCTCTTCGGTGAAGAAGAGTAGGCTCAAAAGATGTTGGCTGAAGTCCAACACACCTGAACATTTCCTCAGGATGTGGTGAACTATTTATAATGACGACTTGGAGATAATTGGCGTCTAGTCTGGCGACGGGAACGTATAAAAATCATTATGCAATGGTGAAATTTAGTTGCCGACCTTTTAAGAATTGGTACGGTTGAAGTACCCTAAGTCGAATTGGTTCGGAAATACTTTACTGGGCATCTTCGTTGCCCCAATCAAAGTCCAAACTATAATTTTTTAAGGTTAAGCGGGTTTGTAAGACAGTTTTTCCGCGCACCACTATTCAACCTAGGGTCCTTCAAGAAAAGAGCGTACCAATTCTTTAAAACTACTCGCGAGCCCTGTAACATTGAGAGTATCTATGGTATCACTAAACAAAATACTTTCGTTCTTGTGTAAGAAATTATTGATATTAAGTATTTTCACGCTTATTATTATCATTATACGAATTGACGAACGAACGGTAACAATACGGTAGATAGTGTAATTCCTGAAGATGGTTTATATACATATACTCCCTGATATTCATTATGGTTTAATGCAAATTAACTGAATTATAAAGGCGCCACAAAAAATTCGCTAAAACGTTCTTAGAACTCATATTAAAGTTTATTAACAGTTTGTTTATATGTCAATAGTATAACAGTTTGTTTATATGTCAATAGTATATTTAAATATAAATATACAAGCTTATGTATAGCCAAATTTCAAGTAAAATTTAATAAAACTACTAGCTGACCCGGCAAACGTCGTTTTGCCATGTATGTATTTTATTTCTAGGAAACATTTTTTTAGTTCAATAAAAATAGCCATCTACTATAATAAAAAATAGGGGTTGATCGTAGAGGGGTGAAAGTTGAGGGTTGTACCTATGTACTTGTGTATAAAAACAAAAACAAAAAAAATATCTAAAAATGAAAATTAATATTTAGGGGTGGTCGGTCCACCCTTAACATTAAGGGGTTTGAAAGATATATAGTAGCCGATTTTCAAACTTACTGAATATGCATAAAAATTTCACAAGAATCGGTCGAGCCGTTTCGAAGGAGTATGGGATCGAAAATTGTGACACGAGAATTTTATATATTACATTGTACAATTTACTTATTTTTATTTATTTACAGAAAGCCTATTGCTATAATATTCTCGAATTACATATTTTAATCATAGTACAATATCCCCATACTCTACATAGGTCGATCTCCGTGCTATATACAAGTCAAATTGAAGCACTTCCAACTGTTAATGACAAATCAATAAATCTATTTTCATTTTGTTTGAACATACATTGACGTATTACGACTACTATGGACATTTCCGAGTTCCATCGTAGGCGGATCTATTGGCAGAATCTCGGAATACCTCGTGCTCCTCAATGGGAGTACTATGTAGGAGGAATGTGACGTCATACGTTGACAGATTCAACACTTAACAACCTCATGACACTCAAATGCGTCATCACCACAATTGAATTACCCAATCCCAGATAGTCTATTGTTTTTCAATTAAAACCAATGGCTCTACAACCTTTTCTAGGCCCCAGATTTCTGCATCTGTTGTTCATTTGTCAATCTAATAAGTTGTTGTTCAGCCTCCTGTGCCTGACATACGCCGTCCACTTTTTAGGTCTAAGGCAGACCGGTTTCCTCAAGATGTTTTCCTTCACCGTTCAAGCGAATCTTAAATGTGCACATAGACAGAAAGTCCATTGGTGCACAGCTGAGAATTGAACCTATAACCTGAGGGATGAGAGTCGCACGCTGACGACACTAGGTCAACACGGCTCTCACATTGTTTTTCGATTAAACATGATTAAAGCTTATTTATATTTGATGCAGATTTATCATAATTAAATAAATTATATATTCCCACAATACAATATTTACATCAGTCAATAGTGTTAATTAACACTAACACTATATGACAGTTTTCAATGACACTTAGGAGTCCACTTTGCACAAGTGCCCATCAAAGTTGTTTGGACCAAGAGCAATGGGACACTGGGCACATTTCGTATTGTTATAACATTACAGAAACAATGAATCCCCGAATCGAACCGAGAACCTCCGGTAATCCACATTGTAATGAGACATTTAAAGCAAAATGTTATAAATATCCCAAATAATTAACATAGTAAATCACAGTACTTAGCAATATCATCAATAAGAGATGCTGAAACAAAGCCAACACTCTCAAACCTATTATAATGTAAGAATAATTTAAGAAATAATATTATTTGGGAAATAAATTATTTTGTATACACTGAATGAACTTGTTTTTATATCAACGTTCATTTATTTATTAGTAATCTTACAGCTGACACATCCATATTAAAAAAGAAAATACTACTAAGTATATAATACTACAATAAACAAAGCCAAATCAGATTACATAAACAAAATATATGAAACAGAAATCATAAGTACATTAATAGACAAATGTTTTAAAAGGCCAGCAACGCACTCGCGAGCCTTCTGGCAATGTGGATGTCCATGGACGTAACATTTAACATCAGATGAGCCTCCTGCCCGTTTGCAACGTCATAAAAAAAACAAACATAGTTTTACCTATATCAATGAATTTTTATTTAAAGCACGATTCAAATCAATCAGTTGTCGTCTAAAATTATTAATATATTATATTATGCTCTAAATAATGTTTTAAATTTAAAATCTTTGATGGCAAAATTTCTATAAACGTGCTTTTTTTACACTAAAAAAAAGTAATAAGATACGTCCACAGATAATATAAAAGAAATATATCATACTGTGTGTTAATCTATGGAAATTTATATATAAAACCTACTAAAAAACTAAAGGACAGAATCAGTCCTTTTTGTAAAAATATAGTAGAATATTGAATACTAACTTCACGGCAGCAGTTGGTGTTAAAGTGGCAACATTTCGATAGACAAAAGATCAAATAGTTGTCTTTCAATTTGATGTTGTCTCTGGCTGACCACGGTTAATTTGCTGTAAATCAGAGACAATATTAAACGCACATTGAAATACATAATTTTATAAAGTAACGTTTAAATACGTTCAAAAATTATTTATTTAAATAGATAATCTATTTCTGATGTCACATATGTAACTCGTCACAAGAAATAATAGGGCCATTGGCCGAATGACAGGACTTTATTTTTAGTGGGCAACTTTTAAAGACTTTTCGAATACATAATATTACGTTCTCACAAGTACTTGGCACGTTTGTTGCGGTAATGTTTTCACCTCTTTAGGGTTATTTACCCTTTTAATTGTTTTACTGAATTGGCTAAAGAAAAGTATAGAAAATATTTTTTATGGAAATACATATATACTCAACACATACATGCGTCTCTTAGTTACTTATTTATTAACATCCTGGACGTAGCTGCACATATTTTTTATTTTTACTTAGAGTTTATTAATTATAAACATTTAGTATCTGTATAGTGTTAAATAAAAATTTCAATCTCAAATTAAATTTTAGGTTTGTATTGGCTTTCTCGTGATTGATGTATCTCAGTCACTATGATTCTTGTCAGCGCTGACGAAAATGTCAAATTTAATTCAATTAATTCTAGATCCTAGAGATTACATATAGTACATATAATTCATATAACTCTAAACCTAAACTAAAACAACTTCATATCAATAACGCACAAAATATATACTTTATAATAATACCTATCCCTGTACCCAGGTAGTCCCGCACGGATAGAACCGATGCAGTCGGTGCGAGCAACCCGGGGCAGCCGGGTAAAGCTGGAGTGCCAAGCGAGCGCCCGGCCCCCGCCACGGATATCGTGGTACAAGGACGGCCGGCCCGTCGCTGATATTGCTTTAAGAAGATTCCGGGTGCAGAGTTTCAGGTAATATTTTTATTTTACAGCAAGCGCATCAACATCCCTTTATACCTATAAAGCCCACTTACCCTATTAATTCAAAAAAGGTTGTTATTTCACATATAATTATCAAATCAATGTATTACAAAATATTTTAAAATCTATTTTAAAAGAGTAAGTATGGAGTTTCTTGCCAATTCATCTTCATATGAAACTACCTTTTGGAAGGGGCAACTAGTAATTTTTTACGTAATTTTGACTTTCAAAGGTGCTTCTTTAATATGCCTAATTGAAATAAATGATTTTACTTTTGACTTTGTAACTTAAGTCTATCTTTTAGTGGGTGCAATTACACTAAGAGTGAATGAATAAGAGTAAATAAGATTAATTCCGATGTATGGATAAGTTTGGTTTAGTCAGATTACGTCAGAATTCTTTATTAGGGAGTGCCAATGGCGGCTACCAATATCGTCCCTCAGCTGAATTATTAACGCAATAATTAGATAATAAATGGCTGGGCATTGGCGCTTGACGAATTACGTCATCTAACAAAGATACAATGTAGTTCTATTAATGAACGTTAATGTCGCCTGTTATGAAATGCGAAATAATCAAATAATTTTTAATAAATAAAGTCGATTTCTTGTAAATACGAATAAGTATTGAATTATGTGATGTGAAAATTTAAGAAAACTTATAACTTAGTGCTCAGTAAGTTGGCGCCTGGTAGATAGTACCGGTGACCCCAGAGCTGGTGCTTTCCTCGCTCAACGAATAAGTATCGCAATACAGCGAGGAAATGCTGCCAGCGTTAATTAAAGGTACACTGTCACAGGGACCAACTTTTTAAAATTGTTTTAATTTTCTTTTTATTAATTTTTAATTATTTCATTGTTACTATGTAGGTTAAGGAAATTATAAATATATTTGATTGTTATGTTTAGGGTTTAATAATCGAAGAATGGAAACTTAAAACTAATATTAGGATTATAAAGCCGTAACATAATTTCGTTAAAATAGATAAATTATACCGTAACCGTCAAAGAGGATGATAGGAAATATTTTAAGAAGGGAAGACTTCGACTTTATTTAGCAGTTACAATGTAGATTTTCTTTAAAATATTAAGTATTAATTGTCGTTTGATTGAGGTTTAGCTTCAGTTTTCTTTTTTTATCTATTATTGTACTTATGTTATCTGTTTCATATATTTTGTTTATCAATGTAATCTGTTTTGGCTTTGTATATTGTCAAAGTGTTTTCTTTTATAATAAAGATATTATGTGTTAGCTGTAAGAATATGAATAAATACATAAAATTCAAATACATATTTACAATATTCAACTAAACATATCTATATTATACATGCAAAAATATTGGACTGTAAGTTGGAATATACCCTTTAATTGATAAGGTATATTATATAATATATATGCATAGTGCATACATATTGTATTTAGAAATATCTCGAATAATAATCAAGCTCCTATTTTGAAGTCGGTTAATAAATAAAGATATGTAATCGTAGTTTGTATATTAATCGTAATGAATTACTAATTGTACATGTGATGTCCTAATTAATAGATCAATGCACAGATTAAACATTAGGTACAATGCACATGGTGCTTGCATCAGCAATGGCCAATTGCATTAATTACTTAAACAAACCTCTGTCATTGACCTAAAACCGAGTTCACAATGGAGTTTTATTGCTATTTATTTCTTTAGTATCGCCTTTAGGCGTGGATTCTTTTAATTATTATATTGCACACAATAGGGCTGTATCTGGATCGAAGACGGTTGTTTCATAAGCGATAATTTATAAATTATATATATAATTCTCGTGTCACGGTGCTTGTAACTAAACTCCTCCGAAATCGATCGATTTTCGTGAAATTTTGTGTGCATATCGGTTAGGTCTGCGAATCGGACAAAATCTATTTTTCATCCCCCTAAATGTTAATTTTTAGACAAAAAATTTTGTTTTTATTTTTCATGAAACAGCATACAAAACTACATACAACCCTTAATTTTCACCCCTCTACGATCAACCCCTATTTTGTATTATAGTAGATAGTTATTTTTATTTAAGTAATTTTTTTTCCTAGAAATAATATACATGGCAAAACAACGTTTGCCGGGTCAGCTAGTTGTGATTGATATATATTTTGATAATAAGTAAATTTTCAACGAAATATATACACGAATAAAAATTATATTTTATTCGTCTTAACTCTGAAGACCCAATTACGAGAGCAATTATGAAGTGCTGTGAATTGCAATTTCACGGTTCGTTTGCCGACATTTTGTTTGACATAAGAACTTCATTCATTTGTAAATAGCTATATGTATATTAAAACTACTAGAAGATGCTTTAGAATTGAGTACTACTTCTCTGTGCCAAGAGAACCGTATAATGGCAAGTAATATTCCTTATTTGTCTAGTAATAAGCATGTTCGAATGCAGATCATGGGGCATTATGTTCAAAGCCCTGGGTCTTAAGACAAAGTCACTTCTTGACTAGCGTGAAATACTAACGCCAAAGGAATTTGTATGAAACTGGTCACGTGACAAAGTGTGAGCTAATGTCTTTCGTGGTGGGTCACGCTTGTCGATAAGTGATTTTGTCTCGAGCCTAGCGTGCTCTAAGACCCAAGCTTCTGATGAACTCTCCTCTTCAAATATGATCCTGTCTGTCATCTATCTCAGTATAAGGGATTTCTGTGCATATACATTTCACATCTAAAAAAGGACCATGTCTTTATAAATGTGAACTGAATTTCAGAAGGCGCTCGGTGTTAGTGATAAGGCATGCGCGTCGCGAAGATACAGCGACGTACGAGTGTAGGGCGCAGGGCGCTGTGGGGCCTCCTGCTATAGCATCTGCCAACGTCAGTGTTCTGCCGCCCGCCACAAACGCACCGGACACATGTAAGTACTTAAAAGATGCAACCGCTAGAAGCGTACAAAACTAAAGTTATCTCTTTCACATCACATTGTGTTTATACGAGATAAATAAGGACATCATACTTTGAATATTAATAGCCCTCCGGAGACACAATTATGTCATTAAAGTGTATCAATTAACAGCTAATCGTCAAGGTTCAACTATTGTTTACCGGTTCAGTTTTCACAATATATGGGAAAATATCGCTTCGACGAATGCGACAATACCGCGATCAGTTAGCCGTCATGTCTATGGAAATCATTGTTTATGCAAACGGTAATTATTTACTAACACACGCTGGCTTTGTTTATGAAGAAAATTTGTAGAAACATAGAATCATAATGGATTTAATAATGAATTTTAAATCAAAATACTTTTACGTTTATTAAGCGTAAGAAATTATATATACACAAAAATAATGTAAATAAACACAGAACACTACGAATATAGATAATTTCATTTGACACATCACACATTGACAGATCTTGAAACTATGTTGGTATTTGTTTTAGAATACTTGGATTAACAATAGCAGTACAACAGCTATAAAGATTATTAACTAAATAATAAGTACTCCGTAGAAATATGTACGTCTCCTAGCAATTACGAGTGGTATTCTGAATAAAGCTTCAGGACCGGACGTCCAGCAAATTCTTGGAATTAAATATAAGACAAATCGCAGACTTGAATTAATATTGAATAATTAACACCTCAGAAGATGATAGAAATGTATGTTTTAGCGATGCTTGGTGCGCCGTGTCCGATGCCGGACCCTTCTTCCTATTGCCTCAATGGAGGAACTTGTTTATTCTTTGAGCTAGTTCAAGAACAAGCTTGCAAGTAAGTTACGCAATTATTATTGAGTTTTCTGTCAGACACAATGCCTCATAAATATTTGTCTATGGAAGTTTAGAATGTCATAATAACTCTCCACATTCTGCTCTAATCTGTACTAAACAATTTTAGTGTGGCAAACCAAATAATGAAAGTAAAATTGTTTCAATAATAAATTTAAATTCTAACTCAATTTAATAGTAACAATTTTTTTTTTACAAAGACGGTATGTATAACCTTTTTTAATATTATTTCAGATGCCCAGAAGGCTTCAATGGACAACGCTGTGAGAACAAGGACGTGTCGAACAGGAGCAGTATGTATCATTCCTACACATGCAAACTGGGCCTCTCCACGTCTTACTACTGTTAGCGAGACCGCTACAACCCCCTGCCCACCTTTGTATTTAATGTTCAACAAATATCCGATTGCAAATAATAGTTAACTGTAATTAAAGAGTTTACATTATGTGTATCCGATTATGGAACCGTTTACCGCCAAAATATGACACTTCAAGCATTGCCATGGCCAAAAATATATTTATATCAATTAAGACTGGAATAGACTAAAACCGGTATTCACAAAGGTCACTATATTTTTAGGATACTTTTTTCGATTCCTAATAATCAGGGTCGGCTTTAATGGCCTTTTACAGAAACTCTGTTTCTCGTAATTGACACGAGACAACATGATGGTTCTTTATAATCTGTAGCAAAAACTATTAGCAAAGCTTTAAGTTATTTTGTAGTAAAATAGCTGGCCCAGTGAGATTATATTTATAAGGATAATTGCAGAATTTTATTGATAGTCCACGTTGGGAATTTTACAGCGTTGTTGCAGTCCATTGGCGCATTTTGAAAACCCTCCCATATGTAGCTAGGTAAATTAATAAATGGCTTATAAGAAAATTATCGTCCGATTTTCGAAGTTGTAAATATTTTACTGTATTTTGCGAAATATTGTATTGTTATTAACGCGTAAGGTTTGACATTATCTTAGTATATTTTTCTGATGAAGAGACTTTGAGTTGTGTACATATCTATTAGGGTAAGGCTTTTAGGATCATTTCCCGACGATACAAAACAGAGTAGTTTTTTTATTATAAACTTCGTTGACAATAGTTATTATTAGTCTTCTTAATGCAACAATTTTGGAATTCAAACAAGCACTTATTTTTTGTAAAGGCTGTCGTTCAAACTCCTAGTCAGAATGCAGTTCATAGTAATAGACTAGATAAATTATATTTATAGGTAAAGTAAATAAATGAATGACTAATGTCGATGACAGATCCTAAATCAATTTTCCTACTCGCAGTGAATGAATGAGTTGAAATCTATGTGCTGTTTGCGATGAACGTGTTTTAATTAATTTCATTTTGTATAAAGTTTTTAAGTCCATTATTTATATTTAATGAACTAGATTTGTCTATTTATTATAACAATGTCAAGAAAGGACTTATGGTGACGTCATATGCTTTTCTACTTTTATAACAAAATAACCCATATTTTTGAACTCATCAGAAGGCGTCACTACTTTTCTTTAGTCTCACAACAAATACTAAGCAACACATCTAGTTAGTTATGTAACAAATATACCAAATTTCAATAAAAGAATGAGTGTTGGAATTAATGAGGCGATAACTTTGGTTTTTTATTCTCGAACTATCCCAAACCCTTCAAAAATCTATGGAATTAAAATGGAAAATGGTACGTATTTCTGGTAAAAATTATTTCTTTACGTGCACTTAACTTCTTATCCGCACTCATGTTGTAAAATGAAAGAATGTAACGCGTTTTCACTGTTTCATGTTAAAATTCGTTACATTTTTTCATTTGTTAATCTAAAATGACAGTTCTAATGCTTTCTCTACTAATTGTCTATGGGAGCATGCATCATGCATGTCTGTGGGGTAAAATGTGTACTTACTATTTGTTGTGAGATAATTATAACAAAATAACAGTGCATGGTAGTTTGCCAATTGCTAAAATATTTTAGGAATAAAGCACAATTCTTTATGTACGTACAATATGTAAATAAGTTTAATGTACCAACGATATGTTCCTAAAATATTTTTACATTTTAGTAAGACCTATAAAAATTATATTAATTTCTTATTTTCTAACAGGTCTCGGTGAACGACTTTGGTGAACGAACGAATGAGACTCCGGTCTACGAATGATAGTTGCACGGACCATTCCTGACAATAGTTTATAGAGTAATTTAAACTGCCGTATAGTCATATAATTGTAACTAAATAAAGACATGCTTTGTTTATAATAAGACGAAATTGCTATTACATTTTCTTCTTGAAAATTCAACTAAAAATTGATTTTTTTTCACGTCTTTAAATTTGCCAGTTCTGTACCAATATTAGCTGTATGTTAATTATCCGCCTCAGATATACTCATAGATAATCGCCACAGAAAGTACTTAATTAACATTAAATAATAAAGGCCGCTTATAAAAAGGATTAGGATTTTAATAATATAAAGAAACGAATGTATCATTAGAAGACATTCACCATGTAGCAGCCATCGATAAATTCTCTCGAAATTTTAACTAAACTGAATCAGCGCCATCTGTTAGAAATTTATATTACTATTTAACCTTATTTTGTCAAACTTGTTTTCACATAGGCCTATAAACGAAAGTTAGTTAAACAATTGTTAATTTTGCGATGTATGATATTTTGTTATAATTTGTACAGTTAAACGTAAGTTTAGTTTTAATTAAATTATTTTTGCAATAAAAATCCTTTTGAATGTATGCGATGAAATGACTCTTTCGAGTATTAAAATCTATTTTTGTGCTAGAATCTTTCGACTTTCAACTAGTAAAGTGTAAACTGTTACTTGGTATCGGGTAACACTGAAATATTTGTCCATTAATTTTTAAATAACTTACCGATTGAGTAAAAACTGCAAACGTTTGAACTTTGAACTAATTGTGCTTTTTATGTATCTGTTACTAAGTAACGAGGTTTCGCAACTGTGCTATTTCAAAAGATATTAGAACTTATAAACGTATGTTATATACAACTTACAAGTAAAAATTAGTATTACTCTGGACTCTGGAGTAACGTTTCTGCAAGTTAAAACCCGATTTTTTTTAAATTTCAGGCTGGTGCTAGCGAGCACCGCCTATCAGAATGGCTAAATTATTGAATTAGTTCAAAACCGTTATATGGTTTATTTGATTTGACTTTGATATTATTAAAATATTATAATCACAATGGCAGCTGATACCAGCGCCATTGCTCCGACATATATTTTCCTATATTCAAAAAAATGTGTTAAAAAGTATTAAGTATAAAGCTATGGCCAGTATATTTTTTTACTTAATATATCTTGAAAATAAGATAGACACTTCATACTAAACCTGCTCGTAAGACAAGAACTCTTTTGGAATGGAAATATTAAAATTAACAGGCATTAGAACAATCTTATTCCAAAGAGAAATTAATAAGATAATTATTTATAGCAAAATAATTAAGTTTCTGTGAGAGATAAATGACAAAGTAAGTGGCGGATCTCTTTATTGTATCTATAGATAAAGATTTTATTCTACTAGCAACAACAACGCTCACAAATTGCTTTGTGGAGTTTTTCTCAATAACAAAAATATCTCAGTGCCGCCTTTGGAATAAGGCAGTTCAATTTTAAGTTAATATTATAAAATTTTATATAAAGCTGCCGAAACCACCTCACGTAATCTCATAGTATTAAGTTGTAATAATTGTACAGTATTATTCGCTGGATAATGTTATTTATTCTAGCTGTATTGCTATTTTGTAGTGCTTGTTAAATAAACTATAAAACCTGTTCGAAGAAATATTATTTCTAACATATTATTTTAGGAAAGCATTACAATATCTGAACTGAATATTAACATGGTGGTTAAGATGATATGTCTCAATAGAAGAACAATAAAAAAAGAAAATAACATGACATCACTTCCTGATAACAAAGACAGGAAAGATTTTATTTTTATGAACTTTGTATACCTATGTAGGGGTGAAGGCAGAAAATAGGTAACATCAATCTCACCTACAAATTACATTTGTTTTTGTGGTCTATGCTACTTCTGATTACATTTTCTTAGTGATATTGCATGGAAATGAAAAATCTATAGAATTTTTGCTTTCTTTAATGTGAAAAAAAAACACTCAGTTCATGCATTTATTACTATACAATTATATTACAAACTGTATTTAAATAATTGCATGCCTCTACAGGGCACATAGTTTTTGTGATACCTTTACTTAATTAATTGTTGATTTGAAAAGGCAACAATTTATATTTAATGAACCTAGGTCAAAGCTAAATTAAGTAAGTTACACTTTACCTTGTAAGACCATAGCTGCTATAAAATAAATGTAATGTTATCTGTGCAACATTGAGCCTCAATAAGATCAATAAGATTGTGATCACAAAGTATTGATCTGCGTCTTATATTATAAATGCAAGCTTAACCAAAACTATTACTTATGAGTCTATATTCCATTATTTACAAGACAAGACATTCACTTACAATGCATTTGAGCCTTGTCAAATTTGGAAAACATCATAAATAAAATGACAAACTGGACTGCACAGTTTTTCTGATACATGTTCCCTTTTTATACAAAAATCTATTTATAGTTACTGAACCCATTCACTTTTAATTAAAATTCTATAATAAACACTTGTTTCAACACAAAATGGTAAAGTTATTGTATGATATTAGAATAAAAACCCACAAGTGTAATTTGTACTATCAGTTACTCACTATCAATAAAATTATTGAATAATTTGTATAATTAGGTGTAAAACTGTTTAAATACGATAGGCTATGGGAAAAGAACATGTTCTTATAGAACAACAAAAGGCAAAGCGTTAAGTTATACTTAATATGTGGGTTTTATCAATTTAAATGAATAAATATTATTTAACAACATTACATCAACAACCAAAGTAAAGTTTCTACTTTTTATTAGAAACAACTGAGGTATACAACTCTTAATCAGTAAGCTTATAACTAACAATAGTTTCCATTTTGTTTAAGCTAGTAGAGAATGATTTTAACTGTACATTTTGAGCATTTGTGATTTCCACTGGCTTGGCTTCCGCCCACTTCTCAGGAATATCACAGTCAGGTTTGGCATGCACTAAGACATCAAATGAGCATCGACAGTCAAGGAATGGTAGGTAAGAAATAGTTGCGGCAATTTGTAGCATAACATCGCGAATTTCCTGTTTTATCTTCTTTAAGTCTTTGCTACTGACTGTCTCATTCTTTTCTTTGGATAAGGCAACATCACCGTCTTCATACTGAACATTGAAATCCCAACACTCTAAAACCTCTTTGGTGGCGACATTTAATATTATTAAGGACAATTTGTCTACTTTCTTGTTGACAATCCATTCTGAAAATTATAAGAGGTTTTTTTTATGTGTCCTTAGACATAAGATTTTTTTAATAAACAAAATATTTCTTATATTAAGATAAGATAGATAAAATTGCTTTTATAAAATATAAATTAAAATTTTAATTAGAGAAATAACTTTTTTGGCTTGGTCACATATGGCAATTGGCAAGCACTTTGAAGTGGTAAATTCTATAGGTAGAGAAATCTAAATGGTTTTAACATGCCCTAGGGATCAAAATAAAATATTTCAAAGATACCTTCACTTTGTGTCAGTAAATTTGTTAAGAAATCCTTTATAAGAGGGTCTTCTGAAAGAAGGAGAGTTATTCCATACTGTTGCTCGGCTTTGAAAGTTTCAGGTGGGTACAAGCCTCTTTGAAATAATACTGAGTTTATGGCAAATTCTGAAAACAACAACTTTTAAATAAACATATATGTAATTAATAACTTTAGTATAGTATTTATAATGACTAGGTATTCAAAATAATGCGCAAGTTATGACATGTTTGAAGTGAACGTACCAGTATTCAAACATAAAAAAAACAAAAAGATAGAGACAAAATATCTGCAGTGTTTATTATATAAAATATTAAGGTAAATAAATAGACACTTACTTAAATATTCACAAAGTATTTGCGCTGAGCCTCGCAATGTGATACAGTTTTTTGTTTGCTGTTGAGACATTGTTTTCGAATCAGATTCTGTTTAATTTAACTTTCGCGTCAACTTTATTATTTAGAAATAAAATTGACGCGCTTTAAAATCAATAATTAAAACAAATTATTTCGGTTAAATAGTAATGCAAAGCACAATAAAAGTTTTTGTATTGTTGACGGTTACCGGTTTTTTGAAAAAGTTTTTGATGGTCAAGTTGTGTCTTAACTCTTATGTCAAAAGACGGATTTAATCTGTGATTTATTATGTTTGAATACTGTTATAATTAAATAACATTTTTACAACAAATTATACTTAGATTATGTATCTTAAGCATCTATTAGATATACAGTAGATGCCTAATTAGATAATAAAAAGAAATAATGCAAAATTTATCTAATATTGTTTGTAGTGACATCTATTGAGCCAGTATTTAAAGATGAATCACGTGTGCTTAGACAGGTGGTAAGGGCAGCAACTTAGTACTAGATGGCGCTGTTACCAATCACTGTGTGTCTATACTTTCTATTCAATACTAGATGTCACTAAAAGCAGTTTAAATACAATATCCATATAATTAATTTAGTTGCCACTCAAATAAAAAAGTCATTCAAAAGTTATGACCACATACTTTTTTTTTTTCCTTTATGGCTCTGGCACGCTTTGTGCATTAGCCAGCGTCAAGTAGGTGACCACATACTTATATTTTAACATTCGGTACATTAATAATCATTTTATATTTATTATTTTCTTGTTTATTGGTTTATAAAACATCAAAACGTGTATGAGACAAGTGTCTGTGTATCTATTCAACGCTGTTTAGCTGCATTGACCGATTAGATCAGTGATTCCCAAAGTGGTCTATATCGACCCCTAGGGGTCTATGACAACCTGCAAGGGATCTACGTCAGCGAAAAAAAAAAATTGGGGGTCCATGAAATAAAAATGGGAGTCCACGATAGTGGATCTCAACACATACACTGATAGTACCTATTTACTTACATCATACTATCTTATTATATCAAAACATATACATTATATTGACTTATTGCTTATGTTATTTTATTTACAGTTTATTTTGTGTTTATTTAATGCTACGTATATTTTACATAACAGATACAAAATTTTGTTTTGAGTAGTTTTAATTTAAATTCAATTAATAAATGTATAAATTAACATGTGTTTTTACTTTAAGTTTTTAACACTAAACTTCACTACAGCTAGAAATTAACAGGAAATCAATATCAGGTAAGTAGGGGGTCTACCCAACACGGAAAAACATGGCAAGGGGTCTACGACACAAAAAAGTTTGGGGAACTCTGGATTAGATCATAATAATTAGGATACCAATATTTTTGATATTAGAACTTTCGTTTTTACTAGATCTTTGTAATATAAGAATGCCATTGAAGTAAAAAGTCGTCGGAATACTTCATACATTTGTTTCTCGTAGCGTATATCAGTTAACCTAAATCTACGAGTATATAACGCATTTTCATGCGATTTTACGAGTAATACAGATGGTTTCTAAACAGTGTTTTTATCTATGATATGTATTGTTTCAATCTAAAGATATTTTATTGTTTTTTTTATTAAGTGTATAACTACGAAGCGGACAATAAAGGTAACTTTATAAAGAGGCCCTGAAGGAAAAAGTGATAGAATAGACCACTGTCTCGACGGGAAGTCAATATTAAAACATAGCTATACTAAATTAGAGCCAAATAGATCGAGACAAATAGTTATCTTTGTTGGAGGCCTTGGCAAACAAGAGCAAGATTCGAACTAAGAAATAGAAAGGTTATATAAATTATAATTATTGAGATATTAAAGTTTTAAAAATGTATATGTTTTTACTATACTTAGAAAATAACAGCAAGGAATAAATGGCATATTATATATATTTATATAACTTGACTGTTCAATTCAGAGAGTATTTTTGTAAAACGCGGTACATGATTGTAATGGTTTAATAAAGTTCCGTGTAACTGTACACTTAAAAACTATCTTACTTCCGTGTACTTTATACTAAATGTTATTTAATTTTTCAAATTTCCGTCTAAAACAAATACAATATTGTAATCTGATTATTTCTAACGAATAATGGAATCATCTAATGCTCTTTATTTAGCTGTTATTTACACATTGGATTGAGTGTTAAGGTACACATGGAATATGTGTACCTTATTATATCTATTATATGTAGGGAGAGAAGTATGACAACATACCTAAGTACATACAGAACATAGTGAAGTGTTCCTTCAACCAAAAGGGACGTTCCTATGCCAGACAGATTGAGCCACTGGCCGGTCTGAAAGCCTGTGTATTAAATCTGTATTTAGTGGTGAGTTTGCTAGCGCAATTCAGGGTAATTGTAGATGTTGCTTCACACTGCTTTTATACAGCACTGAATAAAATTACGAGATAATATACACTTTGAAGTAAAAACGGTCTCCTTTATCAAAGAGAATCTAACGGTGACAACATTTGCTAATTAGGCCCCATCCCTCGGCCACCCACGAGCACACTAGATATTTTTTATCCCCTAATTAAGCTAATTTATCGAGACAATAAGAGAAATTATCGCTCTTAAGCGGTTTATGAGAGGTATTAAATTGTTAGACGCTACTGGACTACACTCTTTGAGACGCCCGCGCCGATATAAGATCCACTGAGATAAGGGGGCCAGGGTTTTTGAGCTTTTGGGATGAAGGCTTAGTCAATTAATTATGAGGCACATGTCGGAAGCGTTTTAAAAATCCTTACTATATAACGAATATTGTCAATATATGTTAAGATTAATTATGTGATTTTTGTAATTGCATACCTTACGAATGACAAAAAAAAACCTTGTGTGTACCTACATATTATGTACACGCGTTAGAAGTTATACTTCTTTGGCGTAAGAAGATAAAAACCTTTTCAAAAAATGTATTCTACGTTTGTAGAAAAAACAATTAGCTAACTTCAGGGTGTCGGCTTTTTGTGACGGCGTGTGCGCGCATTCGAAAAAATTTATTCTCATAATTTTTCCCTAACGCGCCAAAAGAAGTATAACTCCAAAAAACCTTCCAATTTCTATTCGTGATTATTTGTTTTATCAGCAAGTATGCAACCTTCAGTGCCCGACATACCCCGTCGACTTTGGGTCTAAGCATGCTGGTTTCCTCACGATGATTTCCTTTAACATACGAACGAGTGTTACTTGCGCACAAAGACAGAAAGTACACAGCCGAAATTTAGGGATGAGAGTCGCAGGCTGAAGCCAAAAAGCCTAAAAGTATATACTTAAAAATATGCCTTAAGCTGGGTAAGGTATCACATTCGATCTACATAGATTTGCATTACATAGAGGCCAAATGATATACATATAATATATACACATATACCTATAACAAGCTGATACTTTAGCATTATGAAATTTGATAGCTCTCGGTATAATCAAAAGATTTTAACACTTGTCACCCTATGTTTTGGAATTTTATTCGACGCTTATTCATAAAAACTATATCAGTCTTCTTGCACAGAAATAGTTAACTCTCTCGTGTCTTTCTGTTAAATTTTGTATACCCAATGATGAAAAGAGACAGGTGAGTAGTACTTCAATATGAACGACGCCCTGTTTCGACTGTCGACTGTTTTAATTTTATTTATTTTTTATTTTACAATTTTAGGGAAACATACAGCTAAAGAAGGTTCAATTTTATTTAATTAATATGATGAAGGCCAATTATCAGTTTCCACATTTAGGTATTATTACATCTTTACATACTAATGCTCAAAAAACTCTCAAGGCAGCTAGCTATATTAAAATCTAAATCATTCAAAGTATTGATCACATAGGGCTTTCTTCATTCTATTAACACTAGTGCAGAATAGATCCAAATCAACCTCCCGACATGCCACATTAAAAGAGCGACATATAGAGCTCGCAATAGGTATAAATTTTGTCTATAAATAGTTTAATTTTTATAAGGCATTTGAAGTTAGGACCACTGTATGTTAGTTTAATTAGAATCTAGAACACTTGAAAAATCCCAAAACCCACATTCGGGTGGTCACCTAACCATCAGATAAGAACTAGGAGAGGTAATGATACCGGAATGTCCCCACAAAGGCACACTTCCCTAGAATGTGTTCCGATAGCTGAGGTGCCGACGGCCGCCGTGATTAAACTAACATTTTATGGCCACTGTTACCGATAACGTTCGGAATAGGATCGGCTATTGTCGATGCCCCTTAAGGGTTGCCATGCTTAAAATAAAATTTAAAATATTGCGTTGAATTGGTAATTTTACTATAATAAACGAAACACACGAAGCAATGTAGTATAATTGTTTGCGTATTAGCTATTTCTTTAAGTGTAAATAAGATTTCAGCCTAGCCCCGGATAAATAAGGAGGGTCTATGTCAGAAGAGTCAGGTCAGGTTGACCATAAAACTGGTTGTTAAAGAAAAAATAAATAAAGTTAAGTTTTTGAAGTTATACTTCTTTAGGCGCGTTATGAAAAATTTATGAGAGTGAAATCTTACGATGCGCGCGCACCGTGACACAAAATTATCAGTATGGGCGCCGAGCGTGCGCGAGCGAGATGGGAATAAGACAATCTACAAGTAAAAAGAAATAGAATATGCGTGACGTTAGCAGCTATGCCAAGAATTTTGAATGACCATAATGACATTTGTCATTTTGACCTTTTAAACAAATAAAGGAGTTTTAATTATTTTTTCAAAGAAATTTAGCAATGCTTTTTCACAAAGACCTATTGTTACTAAGTTAAAAGGTTATGAAACATACCTAGTTATTAAATTGAATTAATAATATAATAAAATAATAAATAATAATTATTATTAATATTAATTAATAATTGAATAATATACTAAATATTAAATATTGTTAAATTATTAACGCTAAATATTTATTATTAATTATTTAATATTTAAAAAAAATAAAGAAAGCCAAAGAAGTATAACTTCTTACGCGCGTACATAAGTACACGCACCATTTTTTTTACCAATTATTTGTACCT